AGAGAGAGAGAGAGAGAGAGAGAGAGAGAGAGAGAGAGAGAGAGAGAGAGAGAGAGAGAGAGAGAGGGCTGGAACATTGTACAGTCCACCAACCAGCCATAGGCGCGCACCGCCATCACATCAACCCTCTCCTCCTTCATCATCTTCTTCCATAGATCGTAACCTTCGGATGAGACGAGATACTGACTTGCAAGAGCCAACGCCCGCYCCCTGATTTTCGTCCCAGACTTCTTCTTTCCCGCCTTTGCATTCATCGAGGTCGCCGTTGCCCTCGTCGTTGACTCAGACTGTCCACCACTAACATCCTTTCGTTTGTCGGAAGAGGGAGCCGCCCCTGCATCCGGGAAAGCAGTAGAAGATGTGGCAGTTGTGGACGACTTGGCAGCAGATGCCCTCTTGGCAGCAGACGCCTTCTTGGCAGCAGACGCCCTCTTGGCAGCAGATGCCGTGACAGCAGCTGATGAGGCAGCAGACGATGACATAGCAGCAAATGGCTTGGTAGCAAATGGATTGGCAGCAGATGGCGTGGCATAAGATGACGTGGCAGCAGATGACGTAGCAGCAAATATAGTAGCAAATGGCTTGGTAGCAAATGGACTGCCAGCAGATGACGTAGCAGAAGATGACGTGGCAGCAGATGACATAGCAGCAAATGGCTTGGCAGCAAATGGTACCGGTAGGGGCATCTCGAAAATTTTCCTGCTGGCTTTTAACGGCCATCCGGTAGGGGCATCCCGCAAATTAGGGACCGGTAGGGCATCCTGCATATTAGGGACCGGTACCGGTAGGGGCGTAACAAAAAGATTTGAGGCCCAAACGACACCGGGGTCTTATGGAAAATTTAAACCCTGCTCAGAGGGGCGCGACAGGGTAAATCGGCCGTTGGAGGGGTGCGATGCAAAATAACGCAAATTACAGGGGCGCCAGACAAATTTTCCCTTTTATTAAACCACCAGTACCTTTCCCCGCTTGAAAAAATAGTCCCCACCCTAAACCACGGGGAGGACGGGAGAAGACTGCCCGGTCGCGACCAAACGACCGGGGAAGAAAATGAATGGAAGAGACAAAAAAAAAAAAAAAAAAAGAGAGAAAAAAGAAGGAAAACCGAACTTACCGAACTAAAGAAACGGGAAAAAACAATGAAAAGAACAGCACGCCAGATAGGAGACTGTGGGGGAACGAACGGCTATGGAAAGCCTTCAGCTTTCAGCTTTGAGTGGTTTACAGTAAGGAGGTCTTATTATAACCAAGTTTAGTGATGTAACACATGTGCCCAAGTCTTGCGTCTGAATGTGTTTCCGAGTGTTTTGAGTCTATGCTTGAGTTTGTGTGGGAGTCTCTCTCTCTCTCTCTCTCTCTCTCTCTCTCTCTCTCTCTCTCTCTCTCTCTCTCTCTCTCTCTC